ATATATATATATATATATATATACATCCACAATAACACTCCATCTTATATTAATTAAATAATCCATTCGAAAAATTCAGCGTCCTCTCACACTTCAAGATATCTCGTTCACTCTCTTGCGCTACTTAAAAAAACATGAATACTCCCTACACTATAAAAAATACGAACCCACGATTAAGGGGTGGGATTGGTGGTGGAATGTGGTAAGATGGGACAAGCATTAAAAGTGAATGACACGCAAACAATCAAATTGACTCACAGGTTGCTGCAGTTGGACAGAATGGTGTGCACTGAAAAAGTTTCAGGAATTTCAAAGTCCACTGGAAACATCATGAAAATGCGTATTATGGTCCTGTGGTAACTTGCCACGCGGCAAAAAAAGCTGGTCAGCTAAAAAAAAAAATAATATAAAAAACCACAAGACAATCATTTATATGTTTTTATTTAATGTGTGTAGTCATATATAAGATATATAGATAAACTACATAAACATACATTTACAGTAGGCTCCGCAGCACTGTTTGGGACAGGAGAGGTATCAGACGAGAAATGAAGATCAAGGTCTATAGCACAGCAGGCCTTTCGATATTGCTCTACAGTTGGGAAATGTGGAGAGTCTACCAGCGTCACGCCAAGAAACTGAATCATTTTGACACAACCTGCCTCAAGAAACTCCTCGGCATCAGGTGGCAAGACAAAGTCACTGACACAGAGGTCCTCGCTAGAGCGAACTTAGCTAGTATCTTCACCACCCTGATGCAGTGTCAACTCCGTTGGATGGGACACGTAACCCGTATGGAAGACCCTGGCTCCCGAAACAGTTATTCTTCGGAGAACTCAGGATAGGCAAGCGCTCACAAGGAGGTCAAAAAAAAAAGCGTTCTAAAGACCCACTGAAAATAGCCCTAAAGGCCTTCAGCATTAACCCTACTCAATGGGTGGAGACAGGGCTAAATCCCATAAAAGCTAATAGGATAATCACAGCTGAGACACGCAGGATTGTCCGAAAGAGCAACATTAGGTCACCGGCCCGCGGTGCCTGAGATATTCCGAGCACGGATCGGTCTAGCAAGCCACCTACGAGCTCACCGTAACCCACACTCCCCTTAACCGGATGACTCGATGATCCTACTCGACTTCGACGGACGAACAACAGCAACGACAATATACTTAAATACATACAAATATAAAAATAATTAATAATAACATGGTCTATCGCTTTTCATATTTTTTTGTGTCACTAATAACTTGTGCGAGGCACTACACTTTCCCTCAGAAACACGTTACCTTACACAATTTCCCCCTGCAACACATTAACTCAATACAGTTTCGCCCACCAACACATTACCTCACTACAGTTTCGCCCACCAACACATTACCTCACTACAGTTTCGCCCACCAACACGGTACCTCGCCACAACCCCCCCCCCCCCCCTGTTTCGCCCACCAACACATTACCTCACTACAGTTTCGCCCACCAACACATTACCTCACTACAGTTTCGCCCACCAACACGGTACCTCGCCACAACCCCCCCCCCACAAACATGCATCGCGTGTCGGTTCTGAAACCTGTTAAAAAGCTGTCTTACGAGTCCGATCCTGAAACGACGACATCGTCGGCTACAAGTCCCGCACGATAACCTTGACTCTTGTTTAAATTTAAACTTCCGTCATTCACTTTTTTTTTCCAATATCGTCGTTTCACTCCTCTGCCAGTTCAACTCCTACATTCAATGAGCGGCTACACTTGAGACAATGGGACGGGTTGTGGGAACCCCAGTGAAACACTGGATCGAACAACATGAGAAAAGCAAAGGTTGGGAACGGTGCGTTCAACCTGTAATCAGTTGAGGGGGGGGGGGAATCAAATGTGGAATTTTCAGGGTCCTGTAGGACACAAGCATTAAATTTCGACGAGCAGCGGGAAGCTACTCACAGGGCACTGAAAAGTGCGCACAGTACGTTGCAGAGATGGGGGCTTGTTGGGCTCGACGTTGTCCTTTTCTATGAATCAAGACCTGCTCTTGAGATCTTGAATAAAAAAGCATGCAACTCTCATGTAGTTAGCGCCAGGAAAGAAAACTGTGATATGGATACGGAATCATGAAAACTTTTGACGTAATGAAAAAGCAGACACCTTGGCGTATAAACCGGAGCTGCCTGGCCTCAGCCAGAATCACCAGTCACTTATCTCGGTGTCAAAAACTGGCTGGCAGGCCATTTTCGAACAAAAGTTTACAGGCAGTGGGCAGGCAGCATGAAAGCCAGAAGTGTATTCTCTGCCATGCCGTATCTTGGCAGACAAGATCCCCGGTGGAGACTGGGTAACCAAACTCATTAAAACTAACCCATGTTTTCACAGGTTTCTTAACAAAAGGTACCAGAAATGCCGGTATTGAAGCCTGGTTATAGATGTTGCGGAGGAGGCCAGAGAGGCGGGATAGTCCTAAGTTATGACTATGTTATAAGGCAAAGTACAGCATATGGAGAAGGTTGCCAATGTACTAGACGGGAGCTTCAAGGGCGTAAGCTCAAGCCTTAAAACGAATATGTGTGTTAGTTAGTAATGAACTTATAGAAATTGCGTCAACTGATGATATTCTTTAGAACACATTAGACGTATTCGAACGTTAACAACCTTTAACCAATGAAGGGGAGGGCTGGTTACGGAATGACAGAGGACATTTACTCGGTGACGTTAATATCAAGGCCATACTAATGGAGACATGTGGTGCTCTTTAAAAATAGCTATAAGTTGAAGTAAAAATATTTAGGCTAGGTTATATGCTACACTAGGCTATATTATAGGCTAGGTTATATGCTACACTAAGCTATATTATAGGCTAGGTTATATGCTACACTAGGCTATATTATAGGCTAGGTTATATGCTACACTAGGCTATATTATAGGCTAGGTTATATGCTACACTAGGCTATATTATAGGCTAGGTTATATGCTACACTAGGCTATATTATAACCGCTTCTCTTTCTTTCTTTTTTCCCAAAACCCTGTCTGTCATCCTATACTGTTTATTCCATTATCTCTTTTTCGTCTCTTTCCTAGTTTTCTAAAAATTTCCTAATTTATAACAGCTGTCGACGACTTCGAGTTTCCCATTGATTTTCACTGCACAATCTTAGGCTCACTACTTGAACTTGACATGTGCAGCATTCTTTAAATGTTTCCCCAATCGCAGCTGTACGACATTAGTGCAACGCGTATTGAAATGGTTAGATGCTCACTCCGCAACAAAAAACCATTCAAGGACTTGTTCTTACCTCCAACTCTGATGTGAATTCAACATCTGTCTCCCATGATAAATCACAAAGGGGAATGGCGGGTGTTAAGATATCAGGCGTCATCTCTAAGTCAACATAATCATAGGCGCACAGCTCGACAAGCAGCTTCGGGTGTGTCCCGACCAAAGTCTGCCACGACTCATCTCTTATGATATCATCTGATAGAGTGGTGGTTTATAATATGACCTTGTTAGTGGTGTCTACATTTAGCAAATTAGTCCTCGATTGTTTTGTGAATGTGAGCTTTGTGAAAAAGTTGCAAATAGCTCATTTACATACAAATTTGACGTATATACAAAAACAGGTTGCTGGTGTAGCACCTTGAAAACAACTAAGATTAGGCGGGCTTCCGTCCTGACGTGTTGCAGACTATTTGAACAGAGTAATGGCCAGTACAGCGCAGCTCTCCTCTGTGATATACTGACAGAATAATAACGTAGACGTAAATATTCCACACCTCTTCACGTGTCGCAGATGAAATTTAAAAAAACATTTTAAACTTCTCAAAACCCATTTCCTCGGTCACACTATTTAACTCTATCACTTGACTGCGGCTAACTGGTCAGTATCTTTATTGCGTCGCTGCAGCAAATAGTCAATAAATGCTACTACAACTCTCTACATCTATACCGTCACTTTATTCTAATTCAACTCTATATCACTATACTTTCAGTATATCCTATTTCAGCTTTCTACTACTATAATGTCAATATATCCAACCCGACAGTTTTATCTTTATATCTTTAAAGTAGTT